ATGCTTTTGTTCATTTTGCAGTTTATCTTTTTTAAAATGTTCTGTTACATGTTCTTGTTATATTCTGTTTATTTGTTGTTCTATAGATGTTTTGTTTATACTATTTGTTCTACTATTCTGCACATGTCTGTTTTGCTTAATCTGTTATATGTTATTTGTATAATATAAACAGATCAATGTACAGGATTGATAGCAATCCCCACAATTTTTATTTGCTTGTTAAATTTTTCTAAAAGGCCTAGAGTTTTCCTCTATAGTTGCTTTGCTAGTGTCTGTAATACTTCCTATTACTAAGCCTGTTTAGTGCTTTTTCTGTTGCTGTTATTTTTTTTTAATGTTGTTTATAATCTTTCTTATTGCTAGTTATGCAAAAAATCTATTTTCTTTTTTACTGATTTTGTGTCCAAGTGATCATCAAAGAAAGGATATAACTTAATTTTAGTATTATTATAATGTTATTTATATATATATAATTTGACTTATTGTTATTTTTTTATATCTAAAGTTTCTTATTGTTAGACTTATTATATTTTTGCTTTTTTCTTATTGTTTAGTCATATTTTTTAGTTTTTCTATTATTTTACTTCTTTTAAATTTTATATTTATTATTAGTAACTTTTATTTAGATCTATTTATCTTTATATTATTTATTTTAAAAAACTTTTTAGTTATTTTTAAGATTTCTAATAGTTAACTTTTATAATTTACAATCTATATTAAATTATCTATATATATAATTACTATTTGATAGTATTGTTATAAAGTAGAAACCTTTTTAATTCTATACTATAATAATAACAGTTACAGAGATCCTTTACAAGTTTATAGTAATGTCTAAGAGAAAAATATAGTTTTTTTAACTAATTAAAAACTATAATTATCTCTGTACCAATTTGATAATAATTACAAAATAGTTTTTTTTATAATATTAAAATAATCTTTTTGATTTTTTGACTTTATTAATATTTTTTAGATAATGTTTTTATATAAAACTATTACAGAAAGAGTATACAATTAACTATATATATAACTATTTTATATTATCTATTTTATATTATCTATTTAAGAAGTCTGCCTAAAGGTTCTTTATTAATTGTTATACTTAATATTACTGCTTAGATATTTTATTTTAAATCTTCTAATCTTACATTCTTGTATTAATTTTACTAAATCATATTTAGATTTTTATTACAATTTTAGAACTAATTTATTCTTAAGATAAATCTTTTAAAGTCTTCTATATTTTTATTTATAACTATTTAATATTATTATAACTAAGACCAACACTTATAATTAGAACTAACTATTAAACTGCTATACTTTTATAATGTTTATACAATCTTAGTACTTTTTTTATAACTTTATTAGTGTTTTATCTATTTTTACAAGTCTGTTTATACTAACAATTCAGTAAGTTTTGCATAATATAACTTTATGCTTAGATTAACTAATAACCAAATTGGTAAATCTTTTTTATCTAAAAATTTTTATTTATATAAGTTATTTGCTCTAGATTTTTTTTTTAAATTAAGATTTTCAAATGATATTATTAAAAATTATACTATATTTTTATTCAAAATTTTCAAACAGAACTTCTTATAGATTATATACTTTTTAAATTTATTTATATAATATTATATACATTACTAAATTTTTAAAAATACTATATATTGTGAGTTCCAAAATCAGTTATATATTATCATAATCATATATAACTAATTGTTAAAATTAGGTTCTATTATCTATTTGAGTAATTAGTCATATAAAAAATAAGAGAAATCTTATTTCTTACTTTTATTACTTTTGTTATTTTAGATGAATTAATGATATATAATATATTTAGTTTTTCTTTAAATAAAAAGAAATGAGTTTTAATATTGATAATATGTAAATAGATAATATAAAAGAAATTAATTTTAGTTGTAAATAAAACTTTTATTATAAATATAGAGCTTTCTGTTCAGAAAGAGAATAATTATGATACTTTTAAGTAAATATAGTTGCTTAAATAAAACTAAAGTATTGGATCTATATTAAAAATAAACTATAATCTGATTCAAACTAAAAACTATAATTAAATCATCATATTTAATTATTGTTTACCTATAAATTACTAATCTGTATTTTAATCATTTATTATAAATTACATAGTCAAGCTGATAATGCAAGAGAGAAACTTAAATCTGATTTAAAATATTATAACTTCAGGTTAAAGAAGTAGAAGAAAGATAAGAAAAAACAAAGAGTTAATAGAAGAATAGATTGAAAAAAAGACTTAGAAGAGAAAATTAGTACTTACTTATAGATAAACTACTTAGTTAAATCTAATATATTTATTTGACTAAGCTGCTATAGGTTATATAAGAGTTTGATTAGTTTAGTGACAGATTTACTAATTTACTACACAACAATATTAATAATAATATTTATATTATTATAAATATATAATATTTCTGTAGAGTATTATTATAAGTGATTATTAACAATATATAACAAAATTTTATTAAATTTATTTAATTATTTATATTAGTTTTTTTAATAATTACTAATTCAAATTAGTTTAAATTTTTACTGTAAATAGTATATATATTCAACTATATTATACTAAAATTTTAATTAATTTAAATTAATAGTTTATAAGAAATCATTTATAAATAATAGATAATTTTTTATAAAAAATTAACTATTATATACAAGTGATTTCTTATGAACTATTAATTTAAATTAACTAAAATTTTAGTATATTATAGTTGAACATATATACTATTTATAGTAAAAATTTGAGTTGATTTGGATTAGTAGTTATTAAGAAAATTAAAATTAAACTATGAAAAGATTTAATAAATTTTATTAAAATTATTATTAATTGATAGTAATAATAATTATTTAATATTGATATACATATATTAAAAATCATTATATATTACTAATGATATATATTAATATATAGCATTTAATCAAAATATATTAATTATTTTTAATCAATATATATTAATTAAATGTTATATATCAATATAAATCTGCTTAAAATTTTTGATAATGTACTTTTAAAGTTAGTTTTAGTACAATCAGAATTATAGAGTTACAATCCCAGATACCTCATCCAAATTGCCAAAATAGAATAAAAAAAAAGTAAATATCTTAAGTTGTCCCATACTGTATTTATTTGAACCAAATTTGAACCAAATTGATCATAATATTTTGAAGAATCTTTAAAATTTTTAATAAATATTCTAATACCAAAAAAAAAGACTATTTTAAAATAGTAAAAGCTAATTTTATTAATTTAAACACTTTATAATAAATAAAATATCTAGGTAATGAATTTATAAATAATCAATAATAATCAAATATATATATATTATGATATGCAATAATAGCTAATAATAACTAATAATAACTAAAGTTTTGAATAATAAATTGTTAATATTTATCGTATCACAGATCATGGAACGTGTCAGTTGATCGATATAGGTCAATTTTGTACCAAATCGATTGATTCCAGATAGGGTTGTTAATGGAATGGCATGCTCTGGAGCCACTTCGGAGTGAGCCCAACCCAAGTTGGAGTGGGTTAAAGATGTTTAAAAATCTGGAATGAAACTGGAGTGAACTGAAGCAGCTCTAAGCAAGCCTGGAGTGACTCTGGAGTGAACCCAACCCAAGCTGGAGTGGGTTGAGGAGTTGTTTAACTCAACCCAACCCAATCATCAGCAACCCTAATCCCAGACAGTGATAACGGAATACATGACTGATACTGATCGGTCGCTTACGCGACGATCAGTATTTTCGTTATCGCTACCAGGGCAAACCCCCGTGATCAAAGAAGGTTATACAACATTCGGTTACGATGCATGAGACTTGGCCAAAAATGAATTTATCTGCTGAGGTAAACAAGATGTTCATGGCAACAACTTAATGTGATATTGTGAATAAGAAAAATCTTTGTCGTCAACTCAATTAAAAATTAATAAAGAAATTCTACATGCAATTAGGGATTTTAATAACTTAGGAAATGAATTTAATGCAGAAAAGTCATATCATGCAGTATTTTAATTAAATTTCTAAAACTTATTATATCAATTAACTACACCCCTTACGCCCCCTTAGCTTATCTTAAATTATAAAAAGACAGAATTTTCGTCTCGATGAAGAGTCTCACTATAGTATCAATTCACTATATCACGCCTCCGGCGAACTGCCTTAAACTTCAATTTTCTTATTCTTTTCCGTTCTGTTATTTTCCGTCCCGTTATTTTGTATTGCTATTCACTTTTCACAATATCATTTTTTAGGAAATCCTAATTTACTGAAAATATGTTAATATGTAAGTGGGAAAGGATGCAGGACTTTAATTAAAAGTTTTATTATAATTTTTACTATACCGATACATATGTATAATCCATTGTAACATATTCTTAACTGTTGGTCTCTTCGTATGATCGACGCCAGACAGTTGAATATAAAACCCATGTTAAGATTAGCATTAGAGTTGGTTTCTCTGGATCCAGTGATACATCATTTTATTGATATAATTCGAATTGTATCAAAATCATTTGAAACGCGAATACGAAAATTGAAATTGGGAAAAAAATGGAGGTTATTCCATAGATATGTATTTGATTTGATATATATAAATATATTATTTTTTTTTTCGCTTTTCAATTAATTGGATAAAGAATAAAATTACTTGAGAAAATATTTAAGGACAAATTGAAAATTTATCGGTAATTGTTAACAAATTCTACGAAATAAAATTCATGCGGATATTAACAGTATAATTCGATCATTTTTACTCTAAATCAATCAATATGACAATGTAAATATCGATATCATTTGATTGATTCTTACTAAATCATCTTGTTTTGCTTCAAAGAGATAAATAATTTTTTTTTTACATTTAATATATTAGACCTTTTAAAATTGCAGAAAAAACAATTTTTTTTTTTTTTTTTGTATATATTATTATCCCATAAAATTTCGTTTTTTCAAGAAAAATAATGGGTCGCTTCTATAATATATCCACGTATTCATCCAATATCAAAACTGAACATATTACAAGATGTTTGACAATTTCTTTGTTTACTTCAATTTTTGTGGCTTTTATGGTTTATGATATTCGTAAAGTAATATTAGCAAAATCTTATCCACTTATCGAAACCAAATTCGAAGTTCGAGAAAGGTTATATATGCCTGGATTAGTTATTTGTGGACCAAATATGAATGTTCAACCAAAATGTTATTTGGGGTTGACGGGCACTAAAGGAACCGAATGTGATAGTCGTTGGTGGACTCAAAGATCAATTGAACAATTTAGATTTATTTTCCCAGACACAATTGGGGAAGGTGGTACGAATCAAATATTCAGACCAAATGTTGGAATTATTTTAAACATTATATCCTTATACGTATTTTATTTTATCAGCTTGGCTTCCAAATGCAAGAAATTGTTACATATTTACACCTCCATACACGGCAATGTTTTCACCAAACTTGACGGAAGAGTTGACAATTCATCTTTATTCTAACGAAACCACTATACCCGCACCTTCAACACCTCGATGGGGTAGATATTGATTATTTTAAACTTTCATCCTTCTTGAACACGAACTCTGTTAGAGTAACCGTTCTAGCGTTATCAATCTCAAATCAAAATTCAAAATTCAAAAGATCAAGAAGTAACCTAAAGTCAAAACAAATATATACTCAAATCATAATGATAACATTTTTTTTAGGGTGGTAACGCTAGGACAGTCACTAAATTATATATTATCAGTTATGTAATATTCCACAATTGCGAAATGGTAAAATTACGGACACAACGATCAAATGACAGAATTAGAGTTAACATTAGCGTTACCGATGTCTATAAGCACGTGAATGTTGTGTCAGTAGTAATCACCTTGTTAAATTATAAATGTCACATATGTACTATAAATAACCATGACGTTATTACGTACGTACGTGAAATTTAAGTCACACAATTGTGGAATGTATAGAAATGAATTTTAATACGTAGTTAATACGTACTTGATATTAAGATGCCATATCGGTATCATGTATCTAATATTTTGAAATTTTTTTGCTAACAGAAATGAAAATTTTAAATTATAGTTCAATTCGGTGTCTTTTGGCCATGGATGGGACAGGATCCATATTTAGTACGACCAGATTTCTTTAATTTGCCAAGCGAAACGTTATTCACTTTTTCACGAAGAGAACGATATAGATTAGTAAGTATTATATATTATATAAAAATAAAATATGATAAGTTTATTTTCGTACGTATTAATGATTCATTTTTTCCTATTATGATAAAAGGATGGAAAACTCCAAATTACTTATGATGTATCTCCTGCAAGGAGATCATTACCGATTTTCAGAAATGACACAAAGAAATGGGGTGAAATTCATATTAGGTAAATTTAAATCTGATATGAATCTACGTAATATCTAACTATAACTATAAGTATATATATGTTGTGCCTTGCATCGATTTCTGCATCGGTGTTGACTGTTTGGCCGGCATTAACTGATCGACATTAATTGGCTTCTACTAACTCTAATTTAGGCCAAGAATCGACAACATATATATACATATATACATATATATATATATGCAGTTTCTTCTGATAAGAATGTCCATTTTTTTTTTTCATGATTTTATTGTATAAAATTAAATTGGACTTTCAATCATCAGAAACTACACTATATATCAAACTACACAATAATGTCTGATATCACTATTGTGCGGATTCTCAGTCACATGTTAGCCATGACATTTAATTGGTCGGTTATTGTATTGACCAATCATATTTTCCATTTAGCATGTGACTATAAAAATATTCACACTATCGATTGAACATTTATTTGTTTAATAATTATTACATCAATATAAAAAAATATACAAGTTTTATTTGAAATTAATGGTTTTTTTTTTTTTTTTTGTTAGACCTGATTATGAACCAGCTCTTGGTGGATACGAAGTTACTGTTAACCGAGAACGTGTATATTTCACAGTATACGATCTACTTCCAACAATTGGTGGTTTAATAGGATTGCTTTTCTTAATATATAGACTTTTATGGGGTGACAATCGGTTAAACCCGTTCGGATTATTTCAAAAATATATATTTCGTTCACTTCCAACCATATCTTTTAACCATTTTGGTAACGGGTATGGACTATACAACAATAATGCTATCGCTTTAGATCGTATTGAAAAACCACAATCAGCTGCTATAAAATCAAGATTTAAGAAAATGTGTGATGATGACTCTGATAATATTCAACATGATACGAGTTATCCTTTTAAAGGATATGGACCTGATGAAATGAGATGTTCTTTATTAGAATCAGGGGCAAATCCTGGCACTGGTGGAAACATTAACCAGACAAACTCTGACCAGGTTAAAGATGATCATAGTCATATTGTTGAAATAGAGAATGTCAAGAAAGAGATAGATCAATTAAGACAAGAACTTCTTGATTGGAAGAATATTTTAACACGTTATTTGTCATTTAACGAATAGAATCATTTTTTATTACGTATTTTATGCTTATTAAATGTAATTTTCATTATTATCATTATTATTATTATTTGTATTTTATAACGATAATATATAATAAAATATTATTATTATAATAAAAAAAATCGATTCAGGTTTTAATAATAATTTTTTTAAAGTTATTTTTACCGGTTCCGATCATTCCGATACCTGATTTATTTATATCGGTAAAGTTACTAACTAAAATTGATAAAATTCTATAAATTCATAGATCTAAAAAAAAAGCTACCGTTTTCGAATACTCACTAACTACCTATTCAATTTTTTTATAGCCGGACCTTTTCTACATAAATGCCCTTAAATGTAATGCCTCCTTAAGAGAAACCTCTATCTCTGGGCTAAATATATATTAGATTCTCATGAATGAACTCTTTTATTATTGTTCATAGATGCAAGTTTGATCCCTATGAAGAGCTCTGATTATATGGGAACATTTTTACGCGGAATGGTACAACGAACATTCTTAAGAGAAAAATCTTTTTTCCCTAAATAATTTACTATCATTTAAATAAATAAATAAATAAATATATATATATATATCTACTATCATGTTAAAAAGTTAAATATACATTTTATAATAATTTATAATAAAATATACAAATGAACCGAAAGGAGTGAATGGGCGGGATCTTCTATACTGACTGACTTACTGACTTCATTGGTTACACTGACGATATTCCTTCTTTGAATATCGATATGGGTTACAGATTAGGAAAATTTAATCTAGAAATGATTATGTTTTTTTTTTTATTAAAAAGTTTTTGTTTAATAAATAAAGTTGTGTAATAAATGATGCTTCCATTTAAACAAAAACTTTTCATTTATGAGACTATTTGGCCATTTGTGCACTTCGGCTGAACGGATTTTATTTGTTTTTTTTCCTACTCTTGGTATACAAGACAAACATTATATCAGATGGTATGTAGTTGCATGAATTTCTTGATGTCAAAAAAACCCTCTTGCAGCTACAAATTGTTGTAATGATAAAAATGAAATATTTATTCTTTCAATATTTTTATTCACGTAACTGTTACTCTAAAAATAAAAAAATAATATTTTTTTTCTATTTTTATCATGTTATTTTTTTCAAACAATTAAATAAGTCTTTTTTCAATGAATTGACATATGTAAAGTACATGAACCTATATATTCCATAATTTATTTTAACATTGACACGTACTTGTGTACATACAATACACATACGTACGTATAAATTTTCTTTGAAATTCATGATGGCAGTTTTTTCCTTGATGTATCTTAGTTTCATATTTTTAGCAAACGGGAATGATGCACCATAGTGCCAAGCATTAAATGGTAACGTTATCTCAAAACGTCACATTAAGGCTTTTTTTTTTTTTTTTTTAAAGTATCATTATTGAATTGCTATTGAATTCCGAGTTTACATGGTAACAATTATTACTATTTTTAGTTCCGATAAGAATTTTTGATTATTTAAATCGAAAAAAAAATATATAAATATGTCTGAACTTTTCATACGTTTTCTACCCATTGTTGTTTTTCAACAAGTCAAATCATAATGAATAGTTATTACAAATCCGTTACTAAAATGATGCTGTGCATCTTAATAGCTTGTTTCTTTATACCTTTATCAACATATGCCGCTGATTATAACGTAACAGTTGGTCCAGGAACTACTTTCGTCCCTCAAAATCTTACTGTTATGCCTGGTGATAGGGTATGTTATTCATTTATCGTGTTTATTTTCATGTTCATGTATATATCAAACACCGCAAATATCGCAAATACTGAATTGAACATTAATTAATAACAGGTAATCTGGAATTGGGCTGGTGGTCAGCACGATGTTGTTCAAACTGATGGTCCTGCCTCATCTTGCACAAAATCCGCTGATCCTAATGCTTGTATGTATCAATAAATATACTCAATTACATAAGTTTTTTTTATTCTTTCACCATTTCTCAAACTTAATATCTATATTTTTTTTATTAAGTCCAATCGTTAGTGAGCCCACCAACAAATAACTTTATGATCACGATCAACAAAACATCCGGTGCATATTTCTATATGTGTAGTGTAGCCACTCATTGTTCAGCTAGTGGTATGTGGGGTGTTATTACGATCGGCGGTAGTGGCACACCTTCAGGTTCACCTTCTGCTTCCCCTAATGGTAGTCCAACTGGTGGTAGTAGTCCGGCTAGTAGTGGTAGCCCTGGTAGCTCTTCAAATCCACCTGCAAAATCTTCAAGTACTAAAAATGTTACTAGTAATTTCATGGTGATTTTTAGTGCTATTTTTACTTGTATTTTAGCTGTTTTGACTGGAATGTTGCTTTAATGATTGAAACATTAGCATTACTTTTTTGTTCATATGTAAATTTATAAATTAATATTTGATATATAGCATAACTCAAAATAAATCTGATTTGTTGATTTGAAAAATTGTATTTTAAATAAACAATATATAATATTTATAATATATATTCATGCATAATATGTGTACAAAGTTTCTATAATATTAAAACAAAAAACGTTACATACTAACAAATTACACTTTTCACATTTTTCCTTGGCTTTCATCTACTAGAGTACATGTTTTATAAAAAAAAACAACTACCTATTTTATTAATGCTAATATTTGGTTTATATATGCCTATCACTATATGAAAAATTATACAGTATAATAACTTATGATATATATTATGATTAATAGGCTCAAGCAAAAAGAAAAAATCAGATTATACAATTATCGGTATACTGTATTAAGTATTCTTTTATATACTATATATATATCGATATACAGTATATCAATTTTGAAATTTAAAAAGAAAAAACCTGTAAATTAATAACAATCATTCATTTTATCAGACTCAGCCTCGATTACAGTGGCCTACCATATAAGTGTAGACACTTTAAAAATTTTGTATAAAGCCAAATAAATAAAATTATAAATTCATTAAATATATATCTTTTTTTTTTTAAAAAAAAGATACAGATTCAAATGAATTTATAAATTATTTTTAGCTTAGTATTTTATTTATTTGGCTTTATATATACAAAATTTTAAAAAGTGTTCACACTTATATGGTAAATTGATCACACAATGATTAAAGTTGATCATTGGTCATCAAATAGAAGAAATTATATATATACTATACAATCTTTTAAAACTAATCATGTCAAAGCTATATACTAGTCGATAAAATCCCAAACTACTATAGTTTGGGTTTGTTCACGCCCAAATCCAAACTTAGACCAAATTAATATCAAAAAATTTTATTAATAATATTTATTTAAACAAAATTAATATATATAATATATATGTTCTTCTTGATTCAATTTTTTTTATAAATACAGAAATAGCCGAATCCAATAAGGCGTTAATTTACAGGTTTTCATCACTTATTTATATTATTAGTACTATCGCTATCTCTATGATTCTTTAATTTTAATTAGTGATACGTAAACAAATTAATAACTATATAGGTATATTGAATTAATAATTAATAATTTTTTGATCATTGTTAATACGTAATTCCTATGTACCTACGTAATCATTAAGGCTGTTAACAGCTTATTTCTAGCTGCATAATGGAGCTGAGCCGGCCCAAGCCAATTGAGCTGTAACTTGAATCGAATCAAGCTATATAGCCTTAGAGTGGCAGCTCGAGCTGTGGCTTGAGCTTAGATTTGAGTCATAGCTTGGTTAAGGCTTGGCTTAAGTCGTGATTCTTAATAGCTCAAGCTGGAGCCGTGGCTTTTGAAGCCAAGCCAAGCCATCCAAGCCCTAATAATCATGTTAAAATACAGTTACTATTAAACTTCATGAATGTCCTGAAACACTTGGATATTTAGGAAAGAAGAAACCCGTAATTTTATTCGAACAAAATCTTAAGTCAATCAAATGTATTACAGCCTTTTACAATAATCAGTCCGAAGTCTACGTTTATCGAAAAACTCTGAAAAAAAGATATCAAAGATGAATTGCCAACGAACAAGTTTCTGTTGATAATGACGTTTCTTCGATACCAGCACAAGATTTAAAGTTATTGGAATCTGAAATTTTTCATACAACATATAAGTAAGGTACTCCAGAGTAACTTTGAAGTGTAACCCACTCAATGCCGGTGTTATTTAGGCTCCGGATTATTAAAATATTCCTAATTAAAGTAAATACTTTGGAGTGACACTTAAAATGGTTTGTACTCTGGAGTGTATATATATATTTTTTTCTTGTTTGTCACGTTCTAATAGTTGAAACATTCGACTTTGTTTATTTAATTACGTACGGTCCGATTCTATTTTATATGTAGGCTACATAACTTCTACGCAAATTGTAACAGTACTTCAGATTATACTCTTGATTATACTCTGGATTATACTCTGGGCTATACTCTGAGTTATACTCTGAGTTATACTTAGAAGTATGTCTGATTTAATGCTCCGAGTTATATCTAACTTAATACTTTGGTGTAGTGTGGTGTTGAAGGTTACTCTGCCAAAGTATGCACCACATCACCTCAGAACACTCCGTTAGCATTCCCAAATACTAGTTATGAAGTGAATTTGGGCCGTGATCAGGTTTTGATAAGGTTTCTAATTTTTGAAAAAAAATTTTTCATCATTATTGTCACCGTAAATGGATCAAAATCAATCATGCATATAAATTGCAAATCAAAGTTCAAAAAAATCTTTTGGGCGAGCGGTTTGGCACAAATCGGACAGAGTTGACAAACATGTTGAGACAGCACCCGGTCTATCCTCTAGAGTTTCATTGAAACTATTAATTCTGATAAAACTGATGACCATCTAAAATTTAATTGACATTCACCTAGGTATTACAACATCCAAATGATAAACTTTTTATCGCAGATGAAGCAACAAAGTTGCAGATGGTGTTCATCTTGATGACTCCAAATACATTTCTAAACTCAATGTTTTAAAAAATGCTATTGGTATATTTTTATATTCGTTAATTAATAAAATATATAAATTAGATGACACTTTTTTACGTATTTAGTTTAGTTGATAATCCGTTTTCGAATGAGACAATTATACGTATATAGTAAATTGTTTTACTATAGTCAAAAATGCCATTTCACGTAAACAATAGTTTGTTTCATTAGCCGGAATCGGTTTCTAGCAATATCTCGGCATCTATTAATCAGATTTTAATGATCTTAATTTGAATCAGAAAGTGATGCTCTACAAGTTTACTTAAAAATTGAAGATATATTTACTTAGTAGAAAAGTGACTTTACTTTGTCGTGAAGTAGTGTTCAGAGTTGATAAAAAATTTTCCAATCGATTAGTTGCCAACTATAGTTGATTTTTCCTATCATCTGACTAAACCAGCTATAGTGAAGTGGCATTTGTGGCTTAGCAATTTTATATAGTAATTCATTCAAATCTGCGCGCCACAACTTTTTAAGAATACGTATAATTTTTAGTTAATAACCTGGTTATAATTTTAGCCAGGGCGTTACTTTAGATATATAATGTGGCTACTTTGATAAATCGCCACTTCAGATGCTGAAATTTGGGGTCTCAATTTCATCGGCAATCAATTCATCGACAGTACGATTCATAGGCAGAAGTTTGTCTGATTGGCTAATAAATTCAATTTAAGTTTACATTATTTATACAGTTTAGAGTAATTTTTTAAAAAAACGAAAACCAACCATAATGAAATAAAAA